AATTCCATAAATGACGGATGAGGAACGTTATGCCTCGACTAAGTGTGAGCTGATCACACTGTTGATCAGCCGGATGCTGCCGGTTCGAAAATCTCCCCGGAGTTTCGTGCGATGCGCGCTGCTGATGATTCCCTACAGAGATGAAATAGCTAGAGGGACTAACTTCATTTTGGCTACACAATGTCGACTGAAACTTCCAAACCTCGTCTAACCATCGACAAAATTTCGTCTGCCTCGGAAAATAAAGGACTAAAAGTGGGTAATATAACTCTGCTCTTCCCGAGAGGGTTTTTAGGCCAGGGTTAGTCTGTAACGTGATTTATAGTGCAATCAAGTTTTCCAATATTTCGATTTAAGTAGGTGTGGTTTTATGGATTACTAAGAACGTGGAATTTAAACTCATATTTTACGCACCCCGGCTAAAACGGTAATCTACTTCTGAATATTTGCGAGGAAGTAAAAAAACCTGAGGGGACCCAAGTGAGACTCAAACTCTGTAAGTTGAAACTGTGTTTTAAGTCGGTGTTTGAGTTCTGTCGTGTTTTTGTGTGAAAAAATTGCGCCATATCATTCCCCATGGTTTGTGGTTGATAAAAACCTGTGCATAGTTCCTGCTTTTATTCGATGAACTCGACTTAGAAATATGTGTGTTACTTTCGTCCACATTAGAAAAAAACACCACCAATGGAGCGTGAAGAACACTTGACGCACACTTTGCGAATTCAGTTGTGGTTTTATTGCGCCAATCAAATTTTCAGTCTCGGGGTGATCATTACTTGGGTCCGATACAACCGTATGGCCGAGTATGACTTTCAAATCACATTTCGATTGTAGGAAATGGACTTTTTAATGGCTAAGTTTGCATATTTTTCCTTAGTAGCTTTATTCAACCAATTCGGTACTTTTTGTTCGCCCAAATCGAATATACTTTCTACTAGTTTTGACAAGTTAGTGGTTGAAGCCTTCTGTGATTGAATGCACTTGGACCGCGGAGAAGATTATCACTTCTCTTTGAGCGAAGCTCATATGGACATCCGTCAAATTGTTCGAGGTTGGGAGCTTAGCGTGAAGGAATGCTGATGGAATTAGTGGAATACGTCTGTCCTGTGAGCAGTAGTTAATACTAATTAGCCGCCTTTAGCCGGAAAACAGCGTGTTTTAGCTCCTCTTCGGAAAGTTGGGGTTCGAATCTTCTGGTGATTCATAAGATAAAGTTGGTTTGCAACAAGGACTAAGTGACCCTCCCCAGTGCGTCCTGATTGTTAATTCCATAGGAACTCCATCGTGCTCAGGCTGAAATGATTCTGGTTGCGGAAGAACCGTGCTGACGAAAACATGGAGGGATTTGAACCTTACTGATGACTAATTTGATTGACCCCGGCTTGATCCACGCTCCTTTTATCCCTGTCTATTGTCAATAACATGGATCATTTAGCTATCAAGTTTAGCTGCCTCGAGAAGAGATGAGCAGAATGATTTATTCGTCCAACACTATGTAACTACTGGCCAAGTGGTCGCGGACCAGTCCCTGTTTACCCAAGTGAAAACATTGGACGGGGGTTTTTTTGCTTCGGAAATGAACCATATCACGTGGCAGTTAATCTCACTTCACCATGCCCCGCTGCAAAATACAAACATTAAACCATCAAATCAATGCTCGAGTTAACCGAAACGTGTACGCTTCGGCTACGAAGGGGGATCAAGATGCTAGTTTGGTCATCCAAAAGGTTTTACCGACAATCAACGTTTAAACCATTTCCTCTCGTTGCCTTCCACAGGCAACACAAATACTCTGCGAACTTGGCAATCCACTTGGCTTTACCGGTAGAAATCTACGTCCATTTGTATTCCAACTGAACACTGCCGGAGCATTCCGCGAATTCGATGAGCCAGTCAATGATCAACCAACTACAAGTCCGAAAGCATCAGAAGCTAGCTTAGAGCCTTCATCTAAACCATATTGGTCACCATCAGACGACCATCTGAAACGGTCCAAGAGGGCCACTGTCTTAAAAGTCTCCGTCACAATCACAGCGGAAGTGATATGTGGCAACGAGGACCAGGACTTGCGAGATAACAAAGTGTCGATTACGTACAAACTTCAGTTGGCTGAAAAAATTGAGGTTTTCGTGAATTTTTCTGGTCTGAGTTTATAGTGTTTCTATTTCTACGGAGGGTACTCTTCATGGCGGTCAGTCCTCGAATGATTTTTTTTAGGTCATTTCCATATTCCTGGATAATTTTTCTTCATGGCGACTGTGAACTTCGCTGAGCACCTGATTTGCTGGAAGGATCTCCCCAAAAAATATAACTCTTTAGGATGACCAATCGACTTGAAGGAACGCAAACCACAACGCAACACAGATCACAAACGGGTAAATAAATGCGCGAGAAACGCTGACAACCAACTAGCCAATCACGTTAGGAGATAACAGAAAGCCTCCAAATACTATATAAACGCACACAGGCAAGCATATGATACCCAACCAACTGCGCACTGATGATGTATCCTCGTATGGTGACGAGACGTTTGCAATTCATTTGCCAAACTCGGCGAACAGATCAGCAGCCATCTGATCAGCAGCTATTTGTTAACTTCAACCGATTGCGCTCACGTATCTTCCATACTGATAAGGTTTAACCCGACGACAGCATCTCTCTCTCAACGGCACATCTCTACAGCATTTTATCGAGGCCACAATCAATGAGCTGTGAGTCATTTCGCGATGATGACTCAACTATTTACCGTCTCGGACTTTATCTCAGTTGAAGCTAAGTACTAAGGTACTTAGCAAGAATTAGGTATTAAGTGTTATTGACTAACCGTGACGGCATTTGATGGTAGAATGTGGTCGAAAAGTAAAGAACAGACAATATCACGAAGAGTTGCTCTCGATAAGCTCTGAACTGTGCTTTATCCATATCTACAAGTACAAGTGTCGGTTCGGACCTTGTTGAAAACAGTGTTTCTCAAAGTCGTATTCTATTCTGTGGGAAAGAAGGAAATCGTTCAGCTGCAACACTCTCCCTGTGCCCAACCGCCGTTGCACGAGGGCTGGGATTCTGTCAGGCTGCCCAAGCCTGGACAGGGAATCGGGAGGCAGAGGTCGGGTTCGAACCACGGAACTTTCGGTCAGTAAATTCGCGCTCTAACCACTTGGGCCATCTCGCCCAGGAAAGCTCATCTCAGATGTTCTTGAAGTCGATACAGTCGCTGAGATGAGTCAGACTTAATAAGCGTGTTGTCATTTTTAGAGCTGAACTGACGTACGCGTATGAAAGAAAAATAACTGTGCACTGGTACTGCCTAAATCCACGTAAAGACTGCCAATCGAACGCAAAACAGCTGGCACTCTGTCCTGTCTTCTTTGAGCGGTTTTGCTAACAACCGTTGGATTAACCATAATTTTTCGGAACAGTGATGTGTCGAACGGTTTCAAATCTTCCTAGTGGCTGGAAATAGTACATCAGATTAGCGAATTACACTCATTTGCAAACAAATTTGGTTTTGCGAGAGACTCACCCAGCTGGATTTCTCGTTAATGATGTTTCTAAGTATCTTGGATGTAGACTTATTTAAACCAGTCTGACCACTTCCGAACAATCAGGTGATCCGGTCCGCACAGACGTCAAGACGAGGTGCTCGAAATCCGGTGGTACTGTGAACCGAGAGATCTCATCAACAGAGGTCAGTCAGGATCTACCAAACGGGCGTGAAGCAATCGGTCACGTGTCCGTTTTGACGGACGCATAGCTCACAGCGTTCGAACGTTTTTCGAACCTGTGGTCAGTCCCAATAGATGAGAGCATCAACGTAAAATGTTCTCGAGATCTAACGCGAGCAACTCTACGTACCTACAAGCCTTTTTCTGAGTATTTCAACAAAACCTGAGCTATGACAATTTCCTGTTTGGAACCCGGCAACCTGATGAGGTTTTGTTTGCCGCGAAGTCAACTAAAATTTTTTCCGGGTTCTGAGTCGAGTAATGACTCAAAAATACTGGAGGTGATATAACAAATAAATGGACGAAAACTACATACTACTAAACTATTGCTATGTATTCAAAGGACTGTCCGACCACCTCATTTCCAAAATACCTGATATTGAGACTGCTCGTTTAGTGACCTTCTTAGTTCCCTTACGGATCATTTACACCTCCCTAGCACACTCTTATCCAATCATAGGGCCCCACAAAGGAGCCACGATTGCCAGCTTGAAAGATTAATCATTTTATCACATCCTCTAATATGCATAGTACGGTGAGTTTCGGATCATTTACACCTCCCTAGCACACTCTTATCCCATCATAGGGCCCCACAAAGGAGCCACGATTGCCAGCTTGAAAGATTAATCATTTTATCACATCCTCTAATATGCATAGTAACGGTGAGTTTTACTTACTGCTACATAACAACTAAATGAGTGGTGACCTCGTTCTTCATTTATAAATGAGGCTCTTCAGTAATACGAGAAACACTGAGGATATCATCAGCAATGTGCCAAGTTTAGTACACACTCAGTGACCCTCAACTAAAAATCCCTATCCCAACCATGAATCTTTTCTAATTTCAGTCTTCAAACAGATTGTTTCGTCTTGTTTTTTTTCTTTGATCAGATTCGCTGTCGTATTGATCAGTTATCACGTGGCGACGCTGTGCGCATTGTTATCCGAGGCCACGTATGGGCGGATACGTTCTTCCGTCATAAGATTTCGGACCTGGCAATTGTTAGTGAAGCGCGATCCGAAATGGCTTCCGTTGCATTTGGCATCTCTGTCCACGGGAATCGGACCATTGAACCTCTAGCAATTTCGCAGAACTTTGTATTCCAGGGTATAAAAGTTCCTCTATTCCGACAAATCCCCTTATGGCCGATCATCCTTGGATGCATCCTGGGAGCCGCTCTGTTAGCTTTCATTATCCTCGGAATGTGGCGTTGTGGGTTCTTCCGACGTCGAAGGTGGTACGACAATGCGGCAGGAAATTCCATGTCTGTGGTTCCAACTGATTTGTAATTTCTAGTCTTTGAACTGCCTGTCTCTCTCGGTGACCCCTCTTTTGCCCCCTCGCCATCCATGTACAGCAAACCTTATCTGTCTTTTTTCTACCAAAGTCCGCCCTGTTCCGCCGATGAAAACTCATCAGATCCCATGTACAGTTGGCAACGAGGAAAGTAGGTTCCGTAACACGCACCCTAACTACTGTCAAAATCTTTTACAAAGTGCAATTACTCTGCTTCCACCTTCCTGTTATCCCAAACGGTATCGATTGATTACCGGTTGGACATGTACTTTCAAGGTAGAACCCATGCATGATTAAGAACCGCATAAATAGAATATGTTATCGAAAAATTGAACTGTGATTGAAATTTTTTGCCTTTGAGAGTAAATTTGTTAGTTTACTAGGGTGGGCTTGATGTTTTGAACCATAAATATCTGAAAACAACTTGAACTGCAGGTTTTAAGACACTGAATTCAGGATAGTTTGGTACCTCAGAAACCCACGGGGCCATCATGAAGGATACTTGAACCGCATCGTCTAACCAGGTTGATCCCTCGTGATGCGTATAAGAGGTCCGACTGCTAGGACTGACAACAGTTTCCCTCTCAATAGTGAACTCGTTTTTTCGATCACGATGGTAGCATATTTGACATGCTTTTCCCGATGGTTGATCAATTATATTTGTTCACGTGACGTCACATGCTCCGCCGACTGATCTGGCCAATAGATTAGACCCTTCTGAAAAATATTTTTGTCTATGCTGCACCAACCGGATTATTGTATATTTGGTGACGTAAGTACAAAACCAGAAAAAAACAAATACATCGTATTTCTAATAGCAGAAAAGAACACATTATGAACCGGTAACAAACCCTACCCGATCGTGCATTTCAACTGGACTTTGGGACAAACCATAATTTGGATTTTCTTGGAATGAAGAGAATGGGAAATAGAATGAATGTAGGAAATATGATCAAATTGTTATTGAATATCAATATTTTCTTGGGTCTCTTTTCATCGTTGCTGGAGGCGATGTCTCCATCCGTTTCTCCTCTGACCGTAGCTCTCTGGGACGAACTGAGACGGCCTGTAATCGTTTGTGCACTGCAGCAGGTGAGGCATCTGTGGTTGGATTCCATGCTAAAAATGCGGAAAGCAGTCAGGAAGTTAGGCGAAATACACTTATTTGCAAGGTACATACTGAAGTGGAGAATGAAATCAAATTGGAAAGTGGGTGACAAAACCTTGCTACGCAAAACAGATACAGGTAAGCTGTTGGCAGAGCAACACTGCGAAGCCAAGGTTCGAATGACCCCGGGTAGACAAGCGAATAACAGTTTTGATTTTTCCTGCCTAGAACTTTCAGAACTTTCGAACCCGTCCTCTGCCTCTCGACTTCCTTTGTCCAGGCTTGAGCAACCTGGAGTATCTCAGCCCTCGTGCAGCCTTCGGGTGGCATGACAGCTAGGCACCGAAAGGGTGCTGCAGCTGAACGATTGTTTTGAGGTTTTAGTTTATGGTAGACTTGCCGAAAATGTGTAATTCTAACTGCGACTAAACCAGCTCAGTCGACCGTAGCAGAAAGCTGGAGGCGAAGAGCATTATTAGTGAGAAAGGGGAACTTTGGCCAGGGGGTGGCCAGATGTGTTGATTGCACTGCATTGTACGATGGGTGGAGAGGGAGTTTGAAAAAAAGGCCGGTGGGTGAAGAGCTGCAAGGGCAAATGATACTTCCCGGTTGTCCAAGCCGAAGGACGGGGTTCAGTTGAGGTACCCCACCTTGAGCCTTTGACTGAAAAGTCTGTCACACGAGGCAGTGGGAGGATGCAGAGTTTTATTCGGAGATCACGCCTCTAGCCTCTGACTGATGAGTCTGAACCGTGAGATAGTGGTTGTTAGGGTTCTCTTTGGAACCCTTCCCGGAGCCAATGATTCAGTATTCTGACCCATTTGGCTGTAGGAGGCCGGCCTGGCCCTAGGGCGCAGGGAGTAGGGCACTACTGTCTCACTCCTGATGCGGCTGTGCACAGCAGGTGCCTTTTGGGTTCTTGGGACTCTGGTTTTAAAAGCATTTTGACCGTATTGGATAATGCGCCGGTGGTCACGGTCAAACGTTGGGCGATCGGAGTGTGAGGGTTTTGAGACTGTTTGAGGCCGTCCTTTCTCGCTGCTTCCATAAATATGGGCAGCTGGCCCTCTGGCAGAAACACCTTACTACCTTCAGTCTTATCGCAGACAATAGTACGACTTCACCTCCAAAACGCTTACTAGGACTCGCCGTTCTTCGTCGGGTTGTTCCCCGTTGGCTTTCCTGGCATGGTTGAACTTTTAGGAACTGCGTTCCCGCCAGTATGGCCCGCAGGATCATCGTACCACAGAAGTCCGACCACCATGAAAAGGTGACAGCTTTGTGTCGGGAAAGGGGAGCAGATTCAGAAGTAAAAAAAAACTATCCACAGGAAGGAGGTGACGTTTCACGCTCAGGTAAGCATACCGAGAAGACCTTGAAGGAGGCTGTTTTGGCGGAAAACAGGGAGAACGGGAATATTTCAGTGTTCGCTCAGCGAAGGGACAAAGTATGCTCATCCGCGCCTCGAGCACATGAATCGGCATCAGAATTCAGAGGGAACGACATGAAGAACAGGTAAGATGAAACTGCAGACTGCTGTCATGACCCGTCAATCGTTGTATCAACCTTCATCAGACGAGAGGTTTTTGGAACTATTTGATTGTGATCAGATTAAAACCTCAACTCTAGGATAGAAGGATTCCCCTTGTATGTCTTCGGGACACTAGCTACTGGCCAGTCTGGTCTTTTCTAGGATTCCAAACATCTGCTAGCCTTTTGGATTTCAGGTCTGGCAAAAGGTTTCACCCCGGTTTAAAAGAAATGGCTCCTGCGGTGACATCTGTGGCTTTCAATGTGACATCTGTGAAAAGTATCCGATAGACTTCATGTGACAGTTCCAGCTAGTTCGAGGACATTCCCCTCATGTATGCAAGTTAGGGTATACCCACCTATCGTTACAAATCCGACGGCCATTATATAACCATGAAATCACTGACGAAAAATGTCACAATTACCGTTTGACAGCTGTGGTTTCAGTCCACAACTGAGTGGTCTAATCGACTGCATCGCTCAAATGGTGAACCCGGCCATCTATTTAAATCTGATAATTCAGGATCGCCCAGTATGAGCTTGCGGAATACTGGTATAAAGGTGGATACTACTGATGAGGCATGCGAGTAGCGTTTTCTCGTAACTCCGCTTCGCGTCTCTTGAAAAGTGGAATCTATTACGGAATTTGTGGAGTCGCTTTGTGGCATTCGCTTGCATTTGAGTAACAGTCAGTGAATAGCCAGGAAAGTTCAGGGAGACGCGTTCAAGGAGAAAATGGATATTCAGTTTTGTAAACAAGGCGCATATAAGAGTTTCGCTCTCCTGTCCAATAGTCTGTAACTGTTCAGTCGTTGTTTCTCCAATAAACAACTCCACAGTGAGAGCTTCTTCCTCTCAATGGTAGCTGAAATATCAAGAGTTCGTAACACGATGAGCTCAGTGGGAGTGAAGCTTGATTCCAATGTTTTTTATTTAATGTATAGTAACCGGGCTAACCGTTACGCGGTCGATCGACCGGCACATCGATTAACTTGGCCATTTTCGGTTACACGATTTTCACTCACAAGATGACATCAACTCTGGTCAGGTTAACTGTGATCACTTTGAATTCATGTCCGGTCAGTCGTCCCATTCTTATATATGCAAGTCGGATATTGGCGGGAAGTTTAGGTCAGTGTTTTGCGCGCACTTTTACATTACAGCGACAATTTCGGCTTGATTGATTTAGCTGAAAGAATCACCCAGGCAAATGCTGAACGCTATTTTACTAAATCTCCAACAGTTCTTACACCAAACGGCCGAGTCAGCATGATTTTTGTCTCACATTGATCTCGGCGGGCCAGAGGAAAACTGTGATTTGAGACACTGAGAATACGAAGAGAGACATTCTAAGGTGAACCGCTTCAGAACTGTAAAGCGTTGGTCGTTATAGCTTGGTATGAAGAAGAATGATACTGAGGGTATTTTCAATTTAGGTGGGCAAATGAGTGGGTACCAGTAAAGCTTCTTCAACCTTCCCTGCCCAAATTTCTAGTAAACGAACAGGAAGGTTCACCCCCGTGAGATACATCATATGTGTTATGGGTTCAGCATGCTGAATGAAGCATTGACCTATAATCTCGCAAAACATCAAGGAACGGGTTCAGAACATGCTTAAAGCTCTCCTGAAATCTCTGCCAGCAGAGAACTGCCGGCAGAACTGTGGCAAGGGGACCAACACATACCATGCATGTTACAGTAGTCAGGCTTATTTTTGGAGGCAGCCCGATGTCCAGTCCCTTTGGTGACAGAGCTCACCAGAAATCTGACGATTGTTCAGGTGTGACTGGTAACCAGTTTTAGTTTATTCACTGTTGTCTAGTTCATACCAAACAGACCACAGTGGGTTATTTTGAGGGACGGTTTCTACAGAAATTTGTGGAAACGAAAAAAAACTGAGATGCTGTAACTTCTTAAGATGTAACATGCGTGTATGCCTCGACCAACCAATACACATTCGCTACAGAAGGCTGTCTGTCGTCAGTCCGGAGAGCTTACTAACGAACCAACCATACAGAAACAACTTTGTCCCCAAAATCATCGCATAAGAAGTCTAGGACAGAGAAATTCCCTTCACAAAACATACCTTCTTTTGATCCAGCCTTTGCCAAACCCGGTCCTGCCATAACTTCCCCGTTCCATCCCGGCTCGCATATCCCTACAGGGAACTGAGGAGAACCGCCAGTGACACGCCGCTCTGAAATGGGCTTCACTCCATCGGAATTCAACAACTGATAGTCGGCAAGCACTTGTTCCAGGCGCGTGACGATCTCGTAGTTCGGCACTGTTAATGTATCCGACTGAAGTCCAAGGAGACGACTGACGAGGGCGCGGAACTCCAGAAGCTGTCCGATACAGACAAATAGATTACGTTGAGCTCTCAGTTAAACTAATAAAAGGCAGGTGTTGTTACGCGCATACACATGCATACCGATGGATGTAAACGACCCAGAGAGAGAAGCGAAGAGACAACCACGAACATCATTATTATTGTCATTATTATTATATATTGAATTGATTTTCACAGTTCAACGGATAAGACAGAAATGCGGCGGACGCACCTTTGCAAAATCTTTGGTTTAGTTAATAACGAATCATTGTGGCACCTGAACTGCCCCAAACAAACTTATCAACGCTGTCGAACCGCGACAGTTTCGGATGAAGGCTGAGGTTCGAGCCAGCTGAATCACGTGTGCAGACCGAAGCAGTGATACGCGGGTGAAACAAATTTAATTTATTGTATCAGATTGCCTAGGTTGTCTGTATCACGTAACAAGGTGCCTCAGAATTCGAAGCACAGTGTAGCCATCCATTATGACCAGAATGTTCTCCAGTTCAATTCCAGAGACCCTCTACCCAAACGGGAGCCACATGACATAGAGGTATGTATCCTCATTGTTGCCGAAAAAATCTTACAAACTGGCGTACTCTAAAGTAGAAATGGCGAGACGGCTCAGTGGTTAGAGTGCGAATTTACTGATTGGAAGGTTCGTGCTTTGAACCTGACCTCTGCTTCTCTACTTCCCCTGTCTAGGCTTGGGAAACGTGGCAGTGACCCAGCTCTCGTGCTTCCCTCGGGTGGCATGGCAGTTAGGCAACGAAAGGGTGCTACACCTGAACAACTCTAAAACAAGATCGCAGCGTTTAACGGCAGCGTTTACCTTTAGATTATCCCTTTTTGACTAAGATGTCCGTATATTGGAAACATGCACTTTCTTTACATCTTTTTGGGTGACCATGAAATCAAATAAACACAAAGCTGAATGGTAGTTAGGTAAACTGCTGCCCAGTTTTATGCCTTCTACGAAACTACCCTTGCCACCAATCAAATATAGGAGTTGGATTCGAGATTAAATGGCGTTTGGAAAGTTCCATTAAAAGATCTGTATGTACTCTCGTCTGGAGTGGGCATAAATCGTCGTATCGCATTGTCTAAACTTATTTACACCAACAGAACATGGTCAAATAACATCCCAGTTACCCAGTTTCTTTGAAACGCAACACTGCGAGCAGATGTTCTGACATCAACTACTCAAGGTTTGGAGCGTTGGAATAATACTGAGGCAGCAATGACAGCTTTCCTTTGTATCACACTGCTAACGAGAATTGATAAGATTCTTTCATCCAACAGTTAAACAAAACTCGTCACTGAAAGTAATGTCTGATCCGTACAACGAAAAGAGATGGTGATCCATCCATCAGACTAGATGGCTTCTGGTGAGTTCTTAGATCACTTACGATCCTATCGGCTGATCTTCATGACTTTAGCAGTAACTGTTGATTTGATGAAACCGTGCTATCAGGACATGCCAGTTACAATATGTATGGAGAATAAGTAACCAACCGCGAATTCGTTACTTACCTCACTTTCAGAACGCCTAAGCTGTTCAACAACTGCCTGTGTGCGCGTGAGCTCATCATTCACGCGAGACATGGATTCTTTGGATCGATTCTGAAGTTCCGTCAATTCTGTACGTAACTTATCCACCAGGTCACGTGACTCAATTGCTTCACTTGTTTGACGTTCACGCACGTCTTGCAGTTCCTTGTTAGTTTTCTCCAATTCCTTGATGCGTTCTCCAGTGACCACACATTGCGTCTAGTAAACACACGAATGTAGCCAGCAAACTAACAGCCAAAATGTGTGTATTTTAGACATATTCGCCAAAGTCAAAAGCCAAACAGAACATCAGAACTCAGCGAAACTTGATGCAGTAGTTCCATGCCAACAATGGACTATGAAGAATACTCTTTTTAATGGTTCATCTGTTCGGTGGAGGTCACTTTGGGTCTAAACTCGATGGGAGCAGAACCAATAGGGGAAAGGGGACGTTGGATGGACAGGTCAAACACCATATCACACATGTCTAGGCTATTATCATTCGAGGAGTGAGTCCGTATGTGACCACGTGATATGAATTGCCTGACTAGGGGGGTGATTATCTATATTCAGCCCAAATACTACCCAGTCAGACTGATCAGCCGCGGTCGATCTCGTTTTAGATTGATGCCAATTTTAGGACAAATTATCGATTGCTATCTTGTTAACATTTACGTGAGAGCGTTCTGTCTGGTTTACTCAAAAAGTCCGTGCCCAAAATGCATCTTGCAGTGGACGACCTGGTAGTTTTATTAGCTTATCTGAAAAGCTGATTCGTAAGAGATGCTCTACTGATGCTCTACTCTACCTACATTATACTTGTATACAAATTGTGAAGCAGAGGGAGAAGGAGAGGTGGAAAAACAAAATTACTACTTAAACGACAGGGTAGTATTACTATCGCTGTCATTACCAGTGCGGTCAATGCACCGCTCGCCGAGAAACCTCACGGTTGTGGCGCAGACTAAAGAAGATGAAGCTGGAAAAACGCATGAAGCAACGCAAGGTAATTCGATAGTTTCCATTTAGAATTCGCCTTCAATGAGTCGCTCAGAGGATGACCACGTGATGTGGTTTTCGTGACTGAAGGATGAGTAGCACTATATTCCAAGTCAAACTCCGCTGACCAGTCGCTCGTGGATGTATGGTTTAGTGTTAAACTACTCACCGAGAGGTTGCGAATTCCAGACCCCCGCAAAACTTGGTGAAATGCGCACTGCTGATGACTTCCCAATAATGGTGAAACAGTTATCCAGAGCGTCTCGGCTTTTCAGTATGGATTAGTTTCACTTAAAGGGCAAAATTTCTATAAAAAATTACTGTTGTGGACCACATTCTCCTTAATGCCTTCTTATAACCGTGAACTCCGGTCTGGATAACCGATTGATAGTCTGGTGCGCTTGGCCAAACCAGAAAAAGTCAATGAACATGCGAACCGGCTGATCTGTTGTTCACTGCCGCGTACAAGGGGTCAAAAAGTGATACTAGGAATACAACTCATCTGTCAAGGGCGAGTGAAAAACAACCAGTGAAATCTGCCTCGACGAAAACGGTTATTCCATTGGCTGTTATGTAGTCCCGCTACGTTCGGAGCTGGTTATCCCAATAATTACCAACTCTCCTTATATTAACATCAGTTCTATATTTAACGAGTCATCAAAGCCTACCATTCGCCTACCTATCGCTGAGCTTTGTACATATTGGTCCGAATGACACGACTGAAGTTAGATGTGCATATCTGCAATGCTGTACTATTAAACCTGAGTTCTCAGGTACATTTACGATACCATTTTCGATGATTAGGGATATTAAACATTAGATGAGAGCAGGTCTTTGTGGAGAATATATTCTGATAACTTTAAAATCGTGACAAAAATGTTCTGTCAGAAACAGCATCTGAAACTGACTGCATGAAAGAATGGACACCGGAAAGACCAGTTCGGTTAAGCTTTATTTTACTGCCACCCGGTGATAACCAAGCTTAGTTGTCATTAAGTTGATACATTCCTAGGGGTCATGTCGTTTGACATATTGGAACGCATGTGGCCTCCAGTCGCAATTCGCCTCTTAAGTAGGTGTCAGAGTATCAAGCTCATCATAGATTTACTCACCTTCGCGTCACTCAAGTCCAGTAGATCAGCACGAAGGCGGTTCAATTCGTCCCGTAGCTTGGCGTTCTCTGATTCCGTACGACGTCCCTTGGCAATTGCACGCTCTGCATTCTCGCGTTCCACCTCCAGGGCAGCCTCAGCTTCCGAGACTGTCTGAAGCTTGCTCTCCAGTTTGGCGGCTTTATCACGCCACATACCCAGCTGAATTTCTTTGCTAGCCAGTTGGTCCTGCAGACGCTTCACTGTTCGACTCAGTCCGGCAATCCGATCCGCGTTTGCTTGAACGTCAGTAAGCAGGCCGAATTCTCCACTGACTATTTGGTTGATCCGTGCTGAAAACCAAACATTAATCGAAGGCCTAGTTCAGGGCAACAGAAATCAATACCTCGTCTAATCCCACAGCACTGTTCGGTGTAGGCTTACAAACAAGTGCCTTCGCTGGTATTGCAATACTCCAGTGCCCGGATAAAAGCGGTAAACCAAAATTCGCGAATCAGACGGGATCATCATCATCATAATCACACGCTCAACACTAGCCCACATCAAACAAGCCTCAAGAAGTGGTGCGGTAGCTCTGGGGTGATGTATGAGTATCCTATCAGACAGCTGAAATTTTTTGGCTCGAAACGGGTCTACAGACAACGGGAACTGCTGAAGTACATACAGGTGCGATCAGCCAGAACAGGTTACTTTAGGGAGAGGACGATATAGATTGGATACGGAAGTATCACTTTCCACAGTAGTACTGTGAACATTAAAGCCGCAACTCATCACATTTAGGGGATCACATTTTTCCAAGCACATTGATTTTGTAAGGTATCCAAAGGTACCAAGAGTGGTGACCAAACCTTGACCTGGCAGAGGGGTATGAAAGAGATTACGGGACGCTTGGGTGCTGTCGGTGATACCTGCCTTTCAGGATGGAAATCGTGAGATGCCTACTGCATCTGGTTGGAGGCGCTGCAAGATATGGCTGTTAATCGATGTCAATGGCGTTTGTGTTGTCAGTTTCCATCGAGCGTCTGGAGATGTGGGCACCTCGGAATGATTACACTGATAGCAAGAAGTCCCTTCCCCATCCACTTTTATTCTTTTCTTCACAATGCGGCTTTCAAAGAAATCGTGGTTGCACGGCAGCGAAGCATCAATGATAAGTACTGAGGTCATACTGTCCATGATGATGATGATGATGACATAGATAGAGAGAATGTTGGCCTGACCTTTACTCTGTGAATACTAGACAAAACGATAAATAAGAAAGCAAGGAGTCGTGCCATAAAGAGGCGCAAGACGGTGATTTCTGCGTTCCAAATCATTTAGCTAACATTTAACGACGCACAATGTGACCTCATCTGTATTGTCCGCCTTAGAATCCGACCAACCGACGATATATTACTACCGGGACAATTTTCTCAGTAACTGTTGTGGTTGAAACCCACCCCTGCTCAAAACGAGAATTTCCTTCGTGAGAAGCATTACTCATAAGGTTACTGACTGCTCACTAGCGATTTGCCCTTCATAAGGCTAATCAGACAGGCGAAGTTTTCGAGTTTCTGTTAAACCTATGTTCCATTTGAAATTGCACGTAACTGGGAAAGTGATCTCATTTTCAAAAGGACTCAAGCGAATCTGTCATTCGTGATATCCCTCGAGAACAACCTCTATCTAAAGAACCTCAAAAAGGGCAAGGTCGGTGGTGAGCTGACAAATGATCTTCAGCAACCTTGTGAAAAAACAGACTCCGGTTCCGGGAATATTACGCTGACTGAAACGTGAGGCGGCCTTTATGCAGTACATTTGGTTGATGAATGTCACAAAAGAAAGAGAGAGTTAAGCAACCTGCTTAGGGGTGTACTCCACCAAGTGAGTGGGTTGATTGGGAACCAAGTTTGCTCTTGCTCAGATGCCCTCACACAATTACAGGCCGATAGAGTTGAAACAACTGAAGACAGTCACCATTTCACCCAAAACACCATGCTAACATAATTTTGCTGCAATAGCTTTTTAGATCAGGTGAACGGTGTACTTCATGTGGATTGTAGGCTCAATCAAGGACGAGTGTCTAGCGAACTTACGTTGGACTGGAGTTGTCCGACCACCAGCTAGAGACTGAAATGATCGTTGTACGAATCTCCAGGGAGATTCGAGTTTCGCTTGGTGTGCACTGCACGATGTCTCTTGGTCTTTCGACTGGCTTCACTTACAGGACAGAGTATGAAGGAGATCACGAAACGCTTGGGTGCTGTCGGTGCTACCCGCCTTCCAGGATGGAGACCGCGTGATTCCCACTGTGCCTGGTTGGAGACACTACAAGATATGGCTGCCAACCGATGTCAGTGGCGTTCTTGTGGTCAGATTGCCTGAGTGAATATCTGGAAGTTTGGGCACCTCGGAATGATTGTGGTAAGCTGGCACCAAGTCCCTCTCCCATCCACCTTTATTCTTTTCTTTACAATAAGTCTTTCAAATAAGTCATGGTTGTACGGCAGTGCAGCATGGTTATCAACAATGAACTTGCTGTGTCTGATGATGATGAAACCTGATCATAGGGAGCTTGGCACCTATTTGACTGACCCGAGAAAGCTTGGATGACCTAGCGGAT